GAAATATATACTCAGTAATATTGGCAAAGAGTTATATTTTCAAATTTTAGAATTATTTTTTTATTATATTGTTTATAAGTGGCCAGTTCTAAGAACTTTCAGTTTGACCCTCGTATACTGGTCAGAATTAGTACTCATTACGTTGAACAATATGTCCGCTATATTGACGTTTTTCGGACACAATGGCTTAAACTCTTTTTTAAAATTGCTCCAACTGCAATCATTTGTGACCCACTCGTTGAGCCATGTTCTAGAATCGCCTTTTAAACAATTCCCTATCCTAGAAAAGCATTCGTTATCACTCCAGTTATTAAAAATTTTTGCACGGTCAACTTCTTGACACCAGACTTCAATGTTGTGAAGCGATGGATCAAAACAAGAAATATAATATGGCTGATTCGATCGCACGGCAGTATTCAAAGAACGCAACGCGTCACCGAAAGCGTTCGTTAACATGCGTTCCGATAACGTAGACGCACTACTAGCGAGCTGTGTTAACTGTGGTTGGACATCAGCTGTTTCCGTAACCGCGCCAATCTTATCGCGACTGATTGTCTGACACTGACAGTCATTATTAAATTCGTTATTTCGTGGTGGCGTACCGGTTGGTGTATAGGTTTCCTTTGTTACACTAAGAGATGGTGCCTTTAATAAATTAATCTCATCGTCAAATTCGCGAGATTTATCTAACCGCGTTAGAATAGCGCCTAACATATCCCGTATGGAATCACTGCTACGATTTCTATTAGCGTTACGAACGCTACGGAGACTACGACCCATAGACGGTGAGCGAAGTCTACGAGGCGAACATTCCCGACCTCCACCGACGGAACGACGACGGGACCGAGATCTACTTCGGGGAATTCCCTGCGACCGCCGGCTTTGCGAGCTCGGATTAACTGCTGACATACTGATAACGCGCCGCACTTGGTACCACAGAATGCGTATTAGAACAAAGGATTGCGTAATAGTCCACCTTTTGTTACTAAGCTATAGATTTACACTCTAATTTTATAAGTCACAAATAAGAAATAATGTCACAGATCTTTCACAAAATCAATAATGTCACAGATTTCACATAAAACAAAGAATGTCACAGATATCACTTAAACACGAAAAAAAAGTCCGAAAAGAAAGCTAAGATGATTAACGAAACGTACTAAGGCAGTGAGCTTTTCTTTCATAATCCCACTTCTGATTTAAGGTAAGAAAGGTTCCTCTCAAAAGAGAAACTATTTTAAAGAAAAACACCGAATCGCGATAAATTTCTTTAATAACACCTAAGCTCGCGCACGCGCACACGTCCGTCCCGCACCGAGTCCCTATGACGCTCTCCTGGTTACCCCCGCACCCGACGATACCTCTGCCACGGCTCTCCTTACAATATATATATATATATATATATATATATATATAACGGCGGGTAGTCCGAATGGGCTATTACGAAGCCCAAATAGATTGTCCATATCGGAGGACTATCTTTAAAATAACATTGCAGGCGGGTATAACAACGTGGATTTATTCCATTTTATCACTTTTCACATGAAAATATAACGAGATGAGCGTGATGTCGTCAGATGTCTTTACTCCTCGGCGATCCGAAACAGAATGTGTGCCAAAATGGCGGCAACTTGGTTTTTATAAACGAACTGTCAAAGTCAGTGTCACCATTCTAATAAAATCAAAAGTATCGATGATCACGCTCTCTTTACAATCGAGTAATTAAGTAATCGAGTAACTAGCAATTAAAATAAAAGAAACTAAATCAAACGATCTTCGTAATGATGATGCGACATATATATATATATATATATATATATATATATATATATATATTTATATATATAAAATATAATATATGTATCAAATTTTAATTATTATAATAAATAAATCATATTTAGTTTTGAGTGGCACAGTTTCATTATAAAGACACCACATTTTTACGATGGGGTTAAAGTAAGAAGTGTTATTTTTATAGGTTTGCAATACAAATAGTCTCTGCTTACTGTTTCGCGAAAGCAACTTCTTGTTGAAGTTTTTAAGCTGTAGTAAGTTAGGAGATTCAAGCCTAGAGTTTATAATTTTGCACAAATGAAGAAAATCCTGCTGTTTTCTGCAGATATCTATAGCTGCAACTTTTAAAAAAAGATAATTCAATATCACTCAAATGGCGCTCGTAAATTTTCCCGCTTAGTCTGAGTCTAAACACATGACGAGGAATCATAGTTCATTCCTAAATAATTTGAAAAAAGACTATCAATTTTCATATGTTATGATATATAACACTTTATCATGTATTAATCATCTAGAAATTTCATTAAAGGCATCACACATTTACAATACTAGATATCCAGACAAAAGTAAGTCCATCCTCAAAAAGTGTTTTGTTTTTTTCAAATTGAAATAATAATATTGCAGAGAACAATTATCATTTTTATAATAAAATCGATATTTTATTTTATTCAAAATTCTAGAAGCCTATTCTATTTGAGATTAAAACAAAACATAATCATAAGTTTCAGAGGCGAATATAACAAATGATAACTTGTAGGCAAAAATAACCACAACTTATGTCTTAATTTTTGTCAAATGAAACAGCAATCATAGTTGAATATTACAATAAAATAACAAGTTTTTAAATTTAAAAGTGAAAATACCTACTTTTGCTAAAGTAGAGCATTCAAAATCAAATAATAAAACGCCACCGTTGTACATAAGAAATCTCACATTGCTCTCGACAAACACACGTGCGAATTTCTAAGTAAAAAATTAAGAAGTCAATCTAACTTGCACATTAAGCAAATGCTATAAAACTAATTAATTCTCCAAAATGAAATGTCATTTGTTAGCAGCAGATTTAATATTCTGTTTCTACCACACCATAATTAAATAGATATAAAGGGAAACTTAATTTATTAATTCCACATGACTGCTATGGTACTCCTTTAATCTATCGAAGGAAATTTTATCTGAGACTGGCGCATTTCTGTACCAAATATAAAATACAATCAATTTTCAAAAGCTCAAATGCAGCTCCGAAAAATACCATAACAACTAAAATTGGAGTATCGAAAGCAGATAACCACGTTCCTGCAATCATTGCTGAAATTGATTGATAAATATATGCAACCCCATATCCTTTGAAAGTTGGTTTATTGAAAGGTACCCAAGAGTTGAGCACTTCAAAGTATGGTTCTATGCCAATCTCAACATTACGTATATAATTATATGTTGAAGAAAATAAGTATTTAACCAAGGATAGCATGTCATAAATACTACGATAATACATAAAAGAATTCAATAACTGTATTTGATTTTTCGTGAGCATTTAGTGAACTTGGTGATAATTTTTTTTTTTTTAAGTCGTCAGTCCTCCTTTGAGCCAGATTTACTTTTGTAATATAATTGATAATTCTACCCTTAGTACAAACGTCAAGCTTCCGAAACTTCTTGCACATTTTTGTCAAGGTTCGTCTTTAACAATTTCTGTGCTTAAAAAATTAGGAAATTAAATTGAGTGGGCGACAAAACAGTAATTGACAATTTTTTAGGCATGTGCATTAAGAACATTCACATATATATTTTTGTGATACGAGCGATAATATATCTTGAACTCGTCACAATATTGTGAATCTAGAATTAGAATTAAACCTGTTTTTTGGAATTCAGTGATTCCTCTTATCTAAAAAAACATTTTGCAACCATCTTTTTATATATTGGTAGAACTTTTGTGTACGTGTCTGTGTGTGTGTGTGTGTGTGTGTGTGTGTGTGTGTGTGTGTGTGTGTGTGTGTGTGTGTGTGTGTGTGTGTGTGTGTGTGTGTGTGTATAATCTTTCTGTAGAGTATTTTCTTGACTTACACAATTAGACCTTAAGTACAGCCCGCTGAGCTCGTTCTTTTCTCAAATGGCTTGTTTTATTTGCCCCACCCCAAATCGAAATGCAATATGCTATTACTGACGTCAGTCTGTGTTAACAGACCCGTATAGAACATAAAAAGAGTCTTTTGATCAACTGAACCGCACAATCTCTTGAAGACATAAATCAACCTACGAATCTTTGCTGTGAGAATCTGAATTTGTACATGCCAGTCGAGTTTGTTATCAACTTGCATTCCCAAATATTTAACACTATTCACAACTTTTAAAGGTTTGCTACTACATAGACACGGATCTATTTGATGAATTCTAATGCCATCATTAGGTAGATCTTTAAGGTGCTTCTTGGAGATGTCAAAGCAAAAAACCAGCGTTTTATCTTGGTTTGAGGTAAGAAGATTCTCGTCTAACCAGATCTTGATTTTTGCAAGTGCGCTCTTACTTTTGCCTTTGCGGAGGTCCAACTATCACCACAGACTAATAGTGCAGTATCATCGACATACGTAAAATGTCACAATTCTCAAGAGATATGTGACTCAGCTGGTCAATATATATTAAAAAGAGAGTGGGAGCCAGTATGCTACCTTTGGGAACGACATAACATATTAATTTTTCATCACTAAATAAATATCCTATTTTTACATTTTGTGTTCGGTCTGTGAGGTAGCTTGTGAACATATCCAATATAAGGCCCCGTATACCTATCTTTTCAAGCTTGGCCAAAATAAAAGGCACAGAGACGTTATCAAAGGCCTCGGAGAGATCCAGGAAGACACTGTAATATTCGACTGTAATATTTTCCTCTATTTTTGAGACAACCGTACCGACAAAGCTTTGTTTGATAACTCGAGAGGGTATTTTGTCCCATCTTCTTATTAATAATCATCATCATGGTGGTCCTTTGGTTTTCCTGTCTAGTATGTAGGCTTCTTTCCTTCTCTTCCACTCCTGGCGATCTTATGCTCGACTCGTCCAGTCTCGACCTCCATGCCGCCGAATATCATCTACTAAGTGCCTCGGAGAGATCCAGGAAGACACTGTAATATTCGACTGTAATATTTTCCTCTATTTTTGAGACAACCGTACCGACAAAGCTTTGTTTGATAATTCGAGAGGGTATTTTATCCCATCTTCTTATTAATAATCATCATCATGGTGGTCCTTTGGTTATCCAGTCTAGTATGTAGGCTTCTTTCCTTCTCTTCCCCTCCTGGCGATCTTATGCTCGACTCGTCCAGTCTCGACCTCCATGCCGCCGAATATCATCTACTAAGTGCTATGACCTACCACACGCTCTGGTATTCAAGTTTGACAATGAAGAACTTTCATACAAAGTTTAAATCCATATTTCAACCTTTTTATCACAATGAAAATCAATCTGTGTCCTATCTTTTGGGTGTGGGTTAGGCGTGACAGCTTATCAGACATATACACAGACTACTTTTACTATTTAATATTATTATGGAATAATAAAAACGATTATCTTTGTCGCTCATTAAATACAATACAATACAATATTAAGAGATTACCAGACAGTTAACAAAATAAAATAGATAGAGTAAATCGACCTTACAAGTAATGTGAATGTATATAAAACTTTATTTGTATGGAGTGACAAACTGCAGAATTGAATTTCATATTTATTTTGAAAGTTGCTAGTTATTTAAGAAATGAAAATGTACTTCATTTGACCTTCGCCAGTAAAGTGTAGTAACTGTAAGCTCCTTTTACTATCTGAAAAAGAGAAAAACAATAACAACTTTAGTTTTGCTCGAATCCCAATATTTACAAAGTAGATAAGTAGCATTTTTGAGACAGTTCTTAATACTAGATCATAAAATAATAACAATCCAAGTTATCAATCGTTTATCAAGTCACCGCTGCGTTTATAATATTGGGACCCAAGTGGATAATATAGTGGCAAATTGGCATTAATTTGATCGCCACTGAGATTATTACGTTAAAATTAGCAGAATCGAAGCCTTTGATTAACTCCAGCCTATTTATGTCTCCACCGCTGGGGCACAGGTTTCCCTGTAACTACTGCAGATACGGCCAGAAGCAATGGCTTAACTTGCCTTTTGAAGCACGGATGAGCTCGAGATAATAAATACTCATCCAATATAAAATATCTGTAAGACTTATCTGACATTAAAATAAAAATCTAACAAAATTTAGGACATTGATTCCGACTACTGTCAATTTTTTATATGAACGCTCACTTGAATAAATGTAGCCACCGTAAGAGTCGTAAATGGTCCCACAGAGAATCTTACAATCTTGCTGAATTGATTTGTCAGCATGCAAAGATTTTTCCTGTGCGCCACACTCCGAGTCCACCAGATACTTTCGTAAGGTGCTCTACTTAAATCCATACTCTAAAATTATAAAAGGTATGAATTTATTACAACAAATAATAATTATAATTCAACTTTATCTTGTTTCTACATTCTTTGTGTTTTATGAGTTTACAATAAATAAAGAAACTCGATATAATGCAAATAGTATATATGCAAGTTTGAAGATTGTAAATCAGGTTGAATAAATTAATAAAATTGTAAAATATTTCGTGTATTATAAACATATAGTAAAATTCCGACTATCCGAACCTCGATTATCCGGACGTCTGAACGTTCGAACTCACTTAGGCCAGCTTTTATTGACAACTTTAAAATTTTGTGACGACGCAAGGAGATATGTTGTGATATGTTTATTCCCGTCTCCAACTGTGATTGTGGTCCACCCATCTGATCGTGTACTCCCGCTTTCATTTATTAGTGATAGAGAGTTTGTATTGTTTAATTTTTACGATAGCGTTAAAGTGATAAAATTGTCTTTCGGGCACAATTTTATAGCATCTCACACAAAAGCTTTTGAATCTCTAGATGTTGCTTTGAAAGACATGAAGAATCGTATCCCATACAGTTGTTACTAACAGCCAGTTGCACAAACGTATATTAAGATTTTCATAAGTTTAAAGCGACATTACCCATACAAATGTGACATTCATTAGAACTTAAAGTCATCATTAAACCTTCATATACGTTTGTGTAACTGACCGTGAAACATGTTATTTCCAAATAAAATTAAAAATTAAATGGGTATTTATTTAATGAATTTTCGATATGGCTTGTTTTTTATATATCGTATCATCTAAGCGACGACAAATGGAAAACCAATATCATAATAAAGATGATTAAATTTTCCTGGTTTAAATTGATCCGGATAATCGTGATTCCACTATATAAAAATTATAGGTTTATACATCGATTTTAAGGTTTCGGTTAGATTATTCTAGCACGATAATGAAATGAGCATAAATGAATTTTTACCGAATTTTATGGTGACAAATATGTGAACAATAACTTCGGTATGCTCGCTATCGTTATCATTATCTTTAATGCTAAAAAAGAAAATTATACTAAAATAATTATACTCACAGCATATAAGACATCATTGCTATGCCAGCAGTAGACGAATAGTTGAATGATAGCGAAAAATAAGTATTCCATAAATAATATTTTCTGTGCTACATTTGTCTCATGCTGAAAAAACACTGTTTTTTATGCTTACGTTACAGAAAAAATCGAAAAACTTACCTGTCGTGTTCTAGGATATTTCTTTGAAATATAGTATATTTTAATATAATCCAACATTTAAACTAAAACTAAATACAATCGCGATGAAACCGTTTAAAAGTTATGTTATTTATCATACTATCTGATTTAAAAAATAGGTAGCCATAAGATTATGAGGAGGCTACAGTGTTATACTATTTTATGTCAGGAAAAACCTCAATATTAAGAAACATCTTTTTATGATTCTATTGTAGTCTACTGCACTGTGGTCAACTTACAATCAATAACTGGAATTGTAATCCAAACGTATTATAATTTTGTTTTTGGCTTCTGTCTTTCAAAAATAGTAAGCACTATTTTTATAGTTAACGGCTATAGAAATTAATCATAAACAATAAATGCTTTTTGAGTGCAAATATATATCTGCATCGCGCTTGCAAAATTTGTAAGGAAATTAAGATAAATCAATACTATGTATAATCTGCATCGGCATTCGTTTGATTGCGTTGAATTAAATTGAATCTTCTCTAATACTTAAAAACAATTTTTGTTCACTACGTGCATAGTAAACTTACCGTCATTTGATAAGCTGTTAGACACAGTACTAAAGAACAAACAAGCGCGTACAAAAACATTATTAGTGATAAACTATCATCGAACAAGTTAGCGTATCTGAAAAGTAATAAATATAAATTAGTTATTATATATTTTATTTATTTTTTATCACTTTTGCATTTAAAAGGCTGTACTGATAAATATCGTTGTCAGAAGTATTATCGATGAGAATGTACATTTAAAGTTTTAATAGAACATGTACTAAAATATAGTTCTCTTTAAATACGGTTAGTTTCAAAATAATATCTTTAAGGTTAAGATACCACCAGCCAGTTGCACAAACGTCCATTAAAATTGTCATTAGTTTGAAGCAACCATACAAGTTTGACATTCATTGGAGCTAAAGAGCGTCATTAAAACTTAATGGACTGTACAACTGACCGTATGTAATGCTAATTAAAAATCATTTTGTACGTTACAAGGATGATATTTCAATATTACTCAGATGGCGCTAGTACATTTTCCTGCTCGGTCTGAGTCTCACACATGACGAGGAGTCATACATCATTCCTTAAGCATTTTAAAATAAGACTAACAATTTTCATATGTTATGATATATGACACATTATCAAATCTAGACATTTCATCCTACCACCATCCACTTCTGCAGTTACTTGACATCCCGACAAAATAGATCCATCCTCAAAAATATGTTTTAGTTTTTATTTAAATTGAAGTAATGTAATGGAGCAGAAAAATCTGATAACTGTTCAAATTCAATGAGAATAACTACTATCGGTTGTTTATTAACTATAATGGCCACGTAATCATAAGTTTGAGAGGCATATACAGGAAATTACAACTTGCAGACAAAATTAACGCTGCTTATGTTTGAATTTCTAAATGGTATGTAAGATTGGATTTTTAAGTTATAGTAAATAAAGTTTTATCAAAGAAAACAGTAATCGCAGTTGAATATTACAATAAAATATCAACTATTTTAAAAATAACCTTAGAAAAAAATCATAATAATTTTGTATTTATTTCTTTAAACTAACTTCATTCAAGTCTACCATTGTGACTTGAAATAATATTTAAGAGTAATCGTACATTTATAATATATGATTTTACTCCAATTTTGATAAAATATTGGAGGTAACTAATCATACGTCTCGCAGGCGTACCATACTTCAATAATTTAAAAAGGTCGTAAATCATTTTTTGACATTTTTTTATCTAGGTTAGGACAATTATATAGATTAAAAAGGAGAATGTACTTTATTAATTCCACGTGTCTTTTATGGCACTCCTTCAATCTTTTCAGGGCAATTTCATCGGGGACTTGCGCATTTTCTGTACCAAATATATCAACAGAGTCAATCCTTAAAAGCTCAAATTCAGCTCTGAAGAATACCATAGTAACTAAAATTGTAGTATCGAAAGCAGTTATCCATGTTCCTGCAATCATTGTTGAAATTGATTGATAAATATATGCAACGACATATCCTTTGAAAGCTGTTTTATCGAAAGGCACCCAAGAGTTGAGCACTTCAAAGTATGGTTCTGTGCCATTCTGAACATTATGTCTATACGTTGAAGAAAATGAAGTATTTTAACACAGGGTAGCATGTCAAAAATACCACGGTAATACACATAAGAATCCAATAACTATATGTGATTTTACGTGAGTATTTAGTGAACTTGGTGATCAATCTAATTTTTTTAAAGTTATCGGTGCTCCTTTGAGCCACGTTTGCTTTTATAATATAATTGATAATTCTGTTCCAATTCTGTTGATAATAGTAGAACGCAGCGACCTTGATTGCGTCTACAGTCGCAAACAATGTTAATTTCATATTGGTCATCAGCATATTCAAGTCATTTTTGATTAGCCAAACATCTATATACTCAGTGATAACGAATACAATAAATGAAATAAAGCATAAGTAACACAAAGATTTTAAATAAACGTTTTTGGGCAAAATCAATCCACAGAATTTTAACGCCTTTACATTAGGACCGATAAATGACCTATCATAATCTTCAAGTTTTTTAAATATTCTAAACATTTTATTATCAACAAACGTATACACGTAGCTACTTGTGAGGGTTTACATTAAACTAGTGAAATTTCTTCTTTCAATACTTATAAACCAGGATTTAATTAGCATTTAATTACGTTTGAAGGAATAGTGCAGTACCTTTACAACGATTTTTACTCGATAATATTGATGCTACCGTATGCGACTTATATAATACAACATTTATCCTCTTAATTACAAGTGTTTACGTGAAATTCACATCAAATAAATAAAAAAATCAAAGATAACTTCGAGCGGATTAGAAGAATGAATAATATTAAAATGCGATGGGATGTGTCATAGTCTTCTACGACAGACGGGTAGCCATTGAAATTGGATATGATAATCGATATGGTTTATAGACCAAAGATAAAACGAATACATAAATTCTGAAGAAGTTGCATGAGTTAGGTACTATGCTATATTAGAAAATATATGAAATAATAAAGTTCGGGTTAGCATTCGACACCGGTAAATTCGGGCGTAACTTAGTTATAGAAAAACTGACTTGCCCATATCACGACAGAGCACGAGGTCATAAAATTTTGGTGACCCATACTAATTACCGGCCACTGTGCCATTGAGCTCCTGTTATACTCACACACCATTGTGGTAATAAAAAAACCGATCAAGGCAGTGATGAACTCACCCGTGGACAGCTCCGCACAAATATCAGATCATAAAAATTATCTTAATAAGCTTTCGTTTAGTCTATGAATGAATAAATATTATCTGAATAATTTTTAGATACAGTAGTTTCTGATATCAGTGGCTTGATCAATTTTCTTCTAATATCTTTAAGAGTTTGTAAACCATTTATTCAAAAAATAAACAGACAACAAATGTAAAAAATGTTATTTTGGTAAATGTATCGTGTAACATGTGCATTTAGTAAATAGCGGTTATTTTAAATTACAAACAGGGACTCCAATTTTATTTTTAATGTTTAAAATCTGTAAGATTTTTGATTAATCTTATTTATGTAGCTTTTTGATGGGATATTATAAAGGAAACTACTACAAATAATTTGTTATGTCTATCTAAAAATAACGCACCTATTTTTCATCATAATTAGGATATGACAGTTTCCCATCACTAATAGTAAATAAAACAAGTGATTGCTAATTAGTCAGTTCATTCGTGGTGTGACAAATGACTGTTTTGATATAATTATTAGAGTATAATTAAGGTCTAATTTGGTAGAAGTTACAATAGCTATCTTATTACACCCCAAATTTTATTTATAAAACAAATATAGAGATATGATATTTCTATATTTGTTTTATAAATAAAATTTTGCTTGTCTAAACTTAAATATAAAAACATTAAAAGAATCTTAAAAGTGTTCGATTCCCAGCCGGTAGATTTTTCAATATCTTTTATATTTTCCCGTGTCTGGATGTTGTATTGTATCCTTTGTTTAAGATTTCCATATAACAAGCGCTTTAGGAACTTAATTTGAGATCTGAACAAACTTACATTCTTAACAATTGATTTCTATATAGATAATGACCCGATTTATATTATTTTTTTATTTAAATAAACCATCGTTAGGTCATGTATAGTCTATTTCCGACCATAAAAAATAATACGCTATAAAATTTCTTCTGGGCAACCTTTGCGTACAGGAAAAAGACTATATCTTAATTTGAGTAGTGTCTCAAAAACTTTGGTACAATATAATATAGATACATTTAAAAAATAAATTAAATTAAAGATATCACATAAACAATAAATTAAACATATATATAATATAGCATGTACCTACATAAATATACGAAGTTAAGGATTCAAGATGAGTGATAGATAGTAGTACTCTTCAACTAGTCCTTTAAAAATATCCTCTGGCAATGCATTCCAGAGACAGGCAGCTTGGACTGTAAATGAGTTGTTAATTAATTTGTTGACAACTTCAAGTTCACAGATGACCTCAAAACTCTAGCGTACGTGTTGTGAAGTAATTAACAACGTTCCGTAAGGTAAACCGGTGAATAAGAATTGAACAGAATACTGTTGAATACACAGAACGGAATGGAAGCGTTCATATTATGTTCCCAAAATTGAGTGAATTATATAATTGTAATGCTATATTTTTACCCCGCCTGCATTATATATACCTCTATAAATACATTATTATTTTGATGAAAACTGCATTACAATTATTTTTGTAGTTTAAAAGATCTCAAAATGTAGATAGCGCGAAGCGACTTTGTTTTACACTATGTATATAACTTATTTAAAAAGAAGGAAATTTCATACTTAATACATTTTTTATAACTGCAACCTTTTGATGTCTGTATCTATACATCATTGTATCTATAGATCTCAAAGTACAGACAGCGCGTAACGACTTTGTTTTACACAATGTATATATTAAACTAATTTAAAAAGAAGGAAATTTCATACAATATAGATTTTTTATAACATCGACCTTTTGGTGTTTGTATCTATAAATGTGTTCAAAGCCTAACTCATCACGGCGAGAAAGTAATAACAGTTTCGTTGTTCCAAGCCATTTTACACTCAAAACAATCACAAACATAAATAAGAGTTTTTATTTCTGGATTACGGACTGGCCGTATTTAGGGCAACTGTAAAACGTCGTGTTTTTGTAACAGGCTGTGTGCCGACGTGTGTACTCATACGGAGCCACCTCTGCTAACTCGTTTAGTGGTCCATACATCATTATCGATCATCGTGACAAATGACTATCGTAACATGTGTGTCACGTTACAAATGTTTGGCCTTGACTCATTTTTAAGTTCTTTTTGTAGTAGCACTGAAGTCAGGTTTTATGTTTTCGCTTAAAAAGATAAATAATAAAAACTTTAAAAAAATAGAATCGTAATCAGATGGTAAAAATGTGATAACTAATAATTATATCAAAAGCGACTTATATCAAGAGTATATTATTGAATCGGCCCGACTTTTTTCTTCTTGATTTTTTTAAAGTTTTAAATTCATGATATTTAGTGATTTTGTTTTTTTGTTGTAGTACACTTAAAATATTAAATTTAGAATACATATATATAAGCGAAAGGTCACTCACTCAATCTCTCATCTCGAAATCTCAGAAACTAAAAGTGCAAAGAGTTTTAAATTTTGCATGCGGGTTCTTTTTAAGAAGTAGGTGCTCATTAAGATGGGATTTAATGAAATTCAACCCATAAGGGAGTATATTGGGGCATGAAATTTTTTATGAAACTTCGATACTAAAAGTGTTGGAGTTTCAAATTATGCATGCTGGTTCACTAAGATGGGATTTTACTGAGGGGATAAATTAGGGGATGAAATTTTTTATTGAGTTTTCTCATTTTTGGACTTAAAACTAGATCACGCGGGCGAAGCCGCTAGCGGAAGGCTAGTATCTAAATAAATTAAAATACACAACATAGTGGAAATATTTTTTTCCAATAATTTTATTCTCATAATATGAACAGGAAAGATTTCATAGTTTGTTTGTTAGCATTGGATAAGCTCCGGAACTATTGGACCGATTTATAATCTTTTTTCTTAATCTACGGGAAACTAAATAATATAATTTACAATAATTTAATAGACTATAATTTAAACAGGCGAAGTCGCGGGGAAATAGCAAGTTTGATAGAAATTGGTTCAAAATTCAAGAAGAAATTGATGTACATAACTACTTTCATACAGAATATACATACTCCTTGATCATATAAAATCCTTTTTTCGAATTTTGTATGAATTCAAAATACGTATCTTTTGTTTTTAAGCTAAAATAAATGAAATACAATACATACCATCTAAATATTTTTGGGATATCTGGTGAAAAGCATATTTTATTTTGTTAAAACAAAATTTAAATGGGATTACCTCGGTCCATTACGCAGTCGAATAAAAATTAATTTTGCAAATCGGGCAACAATTTGCAGAAATATCGGTGAACATACTTAGAAAATATACATAAAAAAATATTAAATACAATACTAACATAGCAATTACGTTCGAAAATTTGAGAAAATAATGCACTTAAAGCAAAACTGATACAAATCTAAAATGTTCACATTTAGCAAAAGCAGATTCTGGCACAAATAGCTACTGCCTACCATACAATATGTTAAAATATGCCACTTTCCTGGTGCATTCCCAGCATGAATCGTCTATAATCTAGAAAAATACAAATTGAACTTTATGTTTATGTCGTATTGAGTCTAAATTGGTTTGAAATAATGAAACAGATATTACTCTCTCGCTGTTATGAGTAAGGCTTTGAACACATTTATGGATGTGAACTTTTAAGTTTTCTTATATAATCTTCTATATGTAAATGTTTGTCATCAGGTGACAGAAGTAATATAAAAAATCGATTACTTCTGTCTCGCTGAAATTCTAGGACCGCTGGACCGATTTAGCTGATTTA